ACTGTATGAAAGCTACATTGGTGTGATCCCTATACCCCATCTTATGCACAATTCTTATCGCTCTTTTTTGTAATATATACAGTGGTTGAAGTGAGCTTTTGTATGTATTTCCCCAGTTTTCAACGCTGATAGATAACTGGTAACTGATAGATTTAGCTTGTGTCAGGGTGTGAGTTTATTTCATTTTATATACATGTGCAATTATATACAGAATATTGTACTGTGTGTACTGAGCATCTTGTGCACAAACCTGTTTGTAGCTTAAACATGGATTGATTAGTCGTGGATGAATTTAGCTGCCACCTTTATTCATGTTTCAACAGAACTGCATGTAAATTAAGTGAAAACCAAAAATTATCAGGCAGTGGCAGTGAGACGCCCGATAAAGGTCACTTGGCCAAAACCTGGTCACCTCTATTACACTGTGGAATGTGTGCAGGAGGAGATCTAGAGGTTGTAGTGATTCTTCTGAGTGTCAGCAGCAGCACAGTGCTGATGATGTGTCTGTGTGTCTGTCTCTGCCAGGTTGTGCGATGGGAGTTTGTCTTTTTGGGGAAAGGTCGAGCTGAAGCATCAACTCCAACAGCACCTGAACTGAACACGTGCCAACACACACCTGTGTGCCCTCACACACACACACACACACACACACACACCCTCAGACTGTAGAGGGAGTTGTTTTTTCACCTTTAGGTCAGACACTGCTGTCCCACGGTGCATTGCAGAGTCACCGTCGTCCACCATGTCGGACGCCCCCGAGGCTGCGCCCCCCAGCCCCCCTCCTCTCACCAACCCGCCCCCCCCTGAAGTCACCAATCCCACCAAACCTGGCAGGTAGGTGACCAGTTAGTTGCCAGATGCCAACCAAAACGAGATGCTCTCTGTGAAACACCAGTCCCTAAGGACATGTGGGTTGGACACAGTTCCATGTGCAGTGCTAGAAACAGAGAACACGCCTAGAACACTATGATGATGTATGTTTGTGTCCTTCAGAAAAACCAACCAGCTGCAGTACATGCAGAACGTAGTGGTGAAGACTCTGTGGAAACATCAGTTCGCCTGGCCTTTCTACCAACCTGTGGATGCCATTAAGCTCTGCCTGTCGGTCAGTCACTGCAACACTCGCTGCAGTCACACCAAGATTTGTAATCTCTCTCTAATTTCAGAGGTTAGGTGTTAGGAGTTAGGGTTAGTCACCAGGCTGACTATTGTTAATAAAAATAGTTGTCACTGCACCAAAGGATGTTCAATAAGAAGCAGTTCCAGTGTATAACTGTCTTTAAAACTACTGTTTGATTCTGTTACATTTCTGTTTTTATAACCAGATGTAAACTGTTAACTGTTGAAGTTTAGAGGTATTGGTTGGTGTGTATTTTTACTCTGGACAGAGCCAGGCTAGCTGTTTCTCCTCTTTCCAGTTTGTATGCTAAGCTAAGATAGCTGTGTTTCCAGGACTACCACAAAGTGATCAAGAACCCCATGGACATGGGAACCATCAAGAAACGTCTGGAAAACAACTATTACTGGAGCGCCAGTGAGGCCATGCAGGACTTCAACACCATGTTCACCAACTGTTACATCTACAACAAGGTACACACAGTCCTATAGTATGTAGTTTTATTTTAAAGATGCAGTCAGTAATGATAACTGATCTTGCAGCCTTAGATGCGCGCGCGTGCATGTGTGAGCGAGAGAGATCAACGTAGGTGGTCTGGACATGTGTGTCGTGGCTGCCACTAGGTGTTACTGCAGAGTTGTATTTTACTGAAACGTCTTGTGCGAGTGAAGCAGTGAAGTGTTTGTGTCCTCAGCCAACAGACGACATCGTCCTCATGGCTCAGGCTTTGGAGAAAATCTTCTTGCAGAAAGTCGCTCAGATGCCTCAAGAAGAAGTTGCTCTGCTGCCTCCAGCTCCCAAAGGGAAGAACAAGAGCAAACAGCCTGCTGCTGCTACTACAGGTAAATACTCCTTCTGTTACAGTACTGATGGACAACACCAGTACAACAGTACAACCCACAACCATGGTAACTGTATACAGCAAAGATGGAGACAACTGTTGCCTCAAAACGCTCAGAAGATATAAATGTCGCTGAGAAAAACTGGACCAAAACATCTTAAAACTAACAAAATATTCCAACTCAAATTTGACAAACATTTCTACACACAGCTGTGTAGTACATCAGCAGTGCTATCAGCACCCTGTGTCTCTGCCTTAGTATTCTATAGTTACTGACTGTAGTCTCCCTCTCTCTCTTACAGTGAGTCAGCAGGCTGAGTCTTCAGCCTCCCCTCCCCCTTCTTACCCATCCCCCTCCCCCTCTCAAACACCTGTCATCTCCACCACACCCACATCTGTTCAGGCCACACCCCCTGTCTCTGCCCCACAACCCCCAGCAACCATGATGCCATCTGCACAGCCCGTCGTCAAGGTAACAGCTGTGCGGGGTGGGACAGCATCACATGACCCAAACAAAGAAAGATAGAGCTTGACTTTTCTGTCTCTTACTCTCTGTCCACCTGTCTCCACCTGTCTAATAGAAGAAAGGAGTGAAGAGGAAAGCCGACACCACCACTCCCACCACGTCAGCAATCTCTGCCGGTCGTGCAGACTCTCCATCTGCTCAGGACACCAAACCGGCCAAACTGGCTTCGTCCCGCCGCGAGGCCGCTGCCCACCCTGCTAAGACCCGCAGGGAGACGGGTGAGGAGGTGGCAGGGGGTGAGGTGGGAGGAGGAGGAGGAGGAGGAGCCGGAGGTAGGAAGGGAAGCAAGCTGGGTGAGCAGTTGAAACACTGTGATGCCATCCTGAAGGAGATGCTCTCTAAGAAGCACGCCGCCTACGCCTGGCCCTTCTATAAGCCGGTGGACGCCGAGGCGCTGGAACTGCATGACTACCATGACATCATCAAACACCCCATGGACCTCAGCACTGTCCGGGTAACACACATGACCTCATCTGACACTAAACGCATGCCATGACCGCACAACAATTAAATTGTGAATCTCCACTTATCACTAACAAACATGGCCGTCAGACCGGAGTCCGTGCCACAAAACATTCCCTTCAGTAAACTGTTAACTTATGACGTTGCCGATAAGATCGCATGTTAGTACGTTCACCACCTAACCCTGCATGTTCCCATCCCAGGCCTTAGTGCTCAGGGGGTGTTCTTTGTATGTCGCTAAACAGATCCTAAATCAAGTGAGTAATCCTGGATTTTCTAATGTCGGCTAAGGTTATCGGGATATTTCTGTTCTTGAACCTCCACCTGTGTTGTGGATTTGAAAAGCTGGATTCAGTCATCTAAGATTGGCGTGCACTCCCGTGGTCAGAGACGAGAAAGAAATATAGAGAGAGAGATACAGTAGATAGATAAATAAATATATTGACAGCTGAAGCCACGACTGCGTGTCCACTGCTCCGATATGACGGCCAGTCTGTTATATGCGTAACTGGTAATGCGGTGCACAGCTGTGTGGTCGTACATCCAGAGTGACAAGCCCAAGCAGGACTGTACATGTAGGCAGTGAAAGGAATCCCAGCGACACAAGAGACATGTCCAGGTCATCTTCATTCATTAGTCACTGTTTAGATGATGAGTACATGTGCTGAGTTCCACTTACTTCATATAATCTCTGCTCTGTAGGTAAGTGAAGCATGAGAATATTCAGCAAACTGGTATCTCTGTATGGTAGCCCATTACTCTTAGTTCTACTGCCATTATTCTTAGTTTTTCTTTGGAGCTTTGCCTCAGTTTTAGTTTTTTCTGCGCAGCATTACAGCACTTCTCTTCCTACAAATAATTATGTAACACATTTCAGCAACTGATTAAGTGCAGTTGCCGACAGTTTGAACATTTATCGCTTGTGTATGTCCCTGATCAGAATCGGCCAGTTGCTTCTCAGTTAAACTGTTCACATCATCACTGACATCAGTTTGTGCAGCTGTTAAAAGGCGTCAAGCTCTCAGCTCTGAATTCCACAGCGATGCAGTCGTGTCACAAAGGATTCCCGCCCCTTCGCTCCTTGCAGGTTCCACGTGCATGTTTTCAGTTTCAATATAAATTTACAGCAGTAAAATGTGCATAAACTGTAGAGGATCCTTTCTATATGAAAGCCTCAGGTCAGTGCACACTAACTGTGGTGGTCCCAGCACAGCTCCTCTTTGTCTGCCCTTAATATGGGGTGCTTACAGTCTACATCAGTAAATTATTTCCTCCTGAATGCAACAGTAACATCAGATTAAGAACAGTTTGGGTCAGGCCAAAGGGTTCTGGCGATTTCTCAGTACCGCCCGTTCTTTTTGATGTTAGTGAGTCGCTTCCTGCTCGGTGAATCTTTAAATCTGTGACGTTGTGTTGTTTACATCGAATAAACTTCAGAACTAACCTGGTCTCGAATGAGTCTGAGATGACAGACATGTTGCCATGACAAGTCCAGCCAGACTTTAGAAGAACCAACAGATCCGGGATAATATGAAACAGACAACAAAATGATCTGGCTAACTTGTTAATCCATGTATGAAGACCCCCCCCCTCCCCTCCCCAGCTCGGATGGTTCAGTCAGATCCGATCTTGCTGTGTTGGTGTTTCACATCCCTGTGTGTCATTGACATGTACGTGGCTCCGGTGGACACTGCCACACGTGCACAGGTTTAACTGAAATGTGGCGTTGTTGTGGTGTAGGAGCACATATTCAAGTGGCAACTGGAGTGAGGTGGTCACTGTTGTCTGTTTACTTGTTGAGTCTAGGACCTGAACCACCTGAGGACTCACAGAAGACACAAGGGCATTTACCAGTTTTTTGATTCATATGTGTTTTCTCCTGAACAGAAAAAGATGGATAAAGGAGAGTACAATGATCCTCAGAGTTTTGCAACAGATGTCAGGTTAATGTTCTCCAACTGTTATAAGTACAACCCTCCAGACCATGAAGTGGTGGCCATGGCCCGCAAGTTGCAAGTAAGTAGAACCTTCCAGAACCTTTACCCCAGGTGGTTGCTGTAGTTAACGCTTGTCTCTCTCCTAAGGATGTGTTTGAGATGCGTTTCGCAAAGATCCCAGATGAGGGCCTGGAGGCCTCGGTCCCGTCTACAACACCACTGGTCAGTAAAAGCACCGCCTCCTCTGAGAGCAGCAATAACTCCTCATCCGACGAATCGTCCGACTCCGAGGAGGAGCGAGCCACGCGACTTGCTGAGCTACAGGAGCAGGTAGGTTCTGCCTGCCAATCACAGGTCAAGAACATGCTGCTTTTCTTCTTTTTAATGTACATTTAATGAAATTTTGGTGATGTAATTTTTTATTGAAGGCTTATTTTTATATAACGCTGGTACTGGTAATGTCACTGTAGATCCTATTACTAGAATATTGCCGCAGCTCTAAAGGCCTCCCTATATATTGATTAGAGGTTATAGGTATTGATAATTAGTCTATTCTACCAGTTGAAGGCGGTGCACGAGCAGCTGGCCGTCCTGTCCCAGGCTCCGGTCAGCAAACCAAAGAAGAAGAAAGAGAAGAAAGACAAGGAGAAGAAGAAAGAGAAGGAGAAAGACAAAGGGAACAAAGGAAAAGTGGAGGAAGAGAAGAAGCCGAAGACCGCCGCCCAGCAGCCAAAACCAGCCAATCCGAAGAAGGCACCAACCAGGAAAGCCAACAGCACAGTGACCGCCGCCAGGTACATTTCAGTCGGACAGCTTCTTTGTTCATGCAGGATTTCAGAACAGAGTTCGACAGTTCACAGACATCCAATAAATCAGAGCGACTCTGTATTTCCAGGCAGCCGAAGAAAGGAAATAAGACGTCAGGCGGCGGCTCGGCCAACGGAGACGACGGCGAGGAGTCGTCCCTGCCGGTGGCATACGATGAGAAGCGGCAGGGGATATAAACCGGCTCCCGGGCGAGAAGCTTGGCCGTGTGGTCCACATCATCCAGTCCAGAGAGCCATCCCTGAGAGACTCCAACCCTGACGAGATCGAGATCGACTTCGAAACCCTCAAACCGTCCACACTCCGAGAGCTGGAGCGCTACGTCAAATCCTGCCTGCAGAAAAAGCAGCGGAAGCTCCTGCGTAAGTACTGAGAACTAATACACTGCTACTGTACATGGAACCAATGGAATATGTGGGGACCTTACTGCATGTACTTCTACACCCTCTGGATGGTGATAAAATTAGCTACAGCAGTTTTCACCAGCGATGTATGGGTGAGGCCCAGATAAGACCTTGGTCATGGACTCAGCACGATCCTACTACTGAAAAAGATGTAAACAAACGTGATAAGTCAGAGGCGCTGTTCTAAAAGCCAAACATGGCTGACTGGCTTAAATGCTCCACAGTCAATGAAACGACAGTAAAATGTGATATTTGTGGGGACCAGCAGTCCTGTGTTGACCTGCTTCTGTTCACCATGTTATAGTTGGCCCTGTGTGACTGTTGATAATCTGAGGAGGGCGAGTGTTTGGCCTCAGCCTGCCGCCGCTGTTACACCATGTTCTGGGGCGTCAGACTCTGGGACTCTGTGCTGAAGCCGTACAAGGCTTTTAAAGGGTTCTTCACTATCGCAGTAACCAGTGATGGGTGTCTGTATGTCCAGTAATCCACAGCAGAAACAAACTGTTCGTGGTTAGCACAGATACGAGCCAACCTAACGGAGGTCAGGGTCAGTGGATGCTTCACAGTGCAGAAGCTGACTGATGCGATCAGTTAAACTGTAAGACATCACGTTGTCGATTCAACATCTAGACCATGAGTGGCTGGTCCCAGTCCTCAAGGGCCGCTGCCCAGCTTCTGACTGAACACACCTGATCAGGTAATCAGACAGGGCAGGGGTAGCTGGAAACTGGACACCCCTAATAAACCAATCTGCTCCTAGATCAGATGAGAGCCACATGTTTCCCATCATGCACTACAGCACATGCGGCAGTGATCTCGTGCCAATGTTGTTGCCTATGTGTTACGCCAAAGCGAGTCGCGATCAGACCAGACAAGAATCAGCGGTGATCAAACGGGTGCATTGGTTTAGACACGACCTCATCTGATTTTAACACCTCTGTCCGCTCTGTCCCCCTTTTAGAGAAGGCAGCAGGAGGCGGGGCCTTGGGAGGCGGGGCTAGTCGTCTGAGTGGCAGCTCCTCTTCCTCCTCTGATGACAGCTCCTCAACAGGAACCTCCTCTTCCTCTGACACAGACTGAACACACTCAAACACGCAGCACATTTGTTACTGAGCACATACACATACACATATACACACACACACTGTCAGTTTACACATGCACATGCAGACTAACACACATCCATGTAAACCTGCATCATGAACAAACACACACACACTCAGAAACAAAAGGTAGAGACACACACTCTGAACTTGTGACAACACACACAAACATCCATCTGAACCACACACACGCGCCCAGACTTGGAGACTGTATGTAAATAGGTTGACCTGTTTTTTAGCTCCTAGTGTCGTTTTTTTGTTTCTTTTCTGGAGGGGTGCGGACAAACAGAAGAGGAGAAGAAGAAAGCAATGACTTCCCAGCCGGAGGAGGAGGAGGAGGAGGGAGGGAGAAGGCTGGTAGACAGACAGGTGGCCTGTCTGACTGTTTGTGGGAGTCGCATTAATCTCTGAACACTTGAGCGTCACTGCCGTGGAGGGAGATACAAACATCACGACTTCCTTTTTCTTCTTGGTCTACTTGGGCGGCCGGCTGTGACCCCTGACCTCTGCAAACATTCCAGAAGCATCTTTAGAGCATCATGGAGAGGAGGAGGAGATCTCAATGGGTCTTAACACTGATCAAGGTTTCACCGATTGATCCACTGGGAGTGGAGCTGTCAAAATTTAAAGTTCCCCAAATGTTTGTCTTCAGGTTGGTAAAGCTTCAGAGACAAAGTTAAGAGCATCACTGGACGAAGCCTGGAGACTAGCGAGGTTCTGCTGATGGATTATGTCACGTGAGCTGAAAGAACAGCATCCAGATGTGGGTCAAAACTCAACAGTCAACATCTGGAGGCTTGAAACTTGCTGGAGAGAGAGAGAGAGAGAGAGAGAACAGCTGGTGTTTAGTTGGTGACCTGAGACCGGCGAGTGTTTTAAAGCTCCACTCACAGTGTCACTACTTCCACCAGTGTGCATCACTCCATGAAACTTGTGTACAGTCAGTTCATTAGTCTGCAGTTTTCACTGTAGCAGGTTTTTGTACTTTCCCTGGGGAAAAAAAACAACATTTCTGTGCTGCAGACCAAAATAGCATGTGTCAAATGCAGCGGAGCACGCTGAGCGATCCGTCTGCGGAGGGCATCCACACCTCAGTATTACACAGGTTCCTGTTGTATGGAGATCGGTCAGAGGTGTGTTACATCACTTATGTCGACGGCATAAAAGTAAGAAGACGACTGAAGAGCGGGTTGAAACTGGAGCTGTGGTTGGTTGTCGGGGCTGACTGCAGCATTGTTTTCAGCATGTGCAGGGGGCGAGTTGAAGCTAAAACAATATGATGATCATAAAATTCTGCAGCCAACAGTCACTGTGAGAATCTCTCACCCGGTTTCTCAGAGGTCTTGTTTAGTTTGAGCAGCAGACAACATCTCAGAGATTCAGTCCCATGAAAGGTCTCAGCTGAGGCAGCGCCACATGAAATTAACTGTACAGAAAGATGGAGTATCTCTCTGCAGCAAGTTCCACGTCTCTGCCGGTGTTCTCTCTAAAAACGAGTTGATTTCTAATGTAACCGGATGGAACCGATCTTAAAAACTGAGGGATAACTTGTAAAACAATCAGGTGTAGAGCCGATTGATGAAAGGTCGTCAGTCTGCTTCTCGGACTCTGACCTTCCTCCACTGCGCCAGATTTCTCCTCAGTTACAACAAAAATCCTCTGAGACTCTGCTGGTCCCACAACCCCAACCCACAACCTACTGTCTGCCCTGGGGTCAACACTGGGGGGTCGCTGGACCCTGACCCCCTATCCAGCGCCGGCTGTCAGCAGAGAGCGGGACAAACCTTTTATTTTTTTAACACTACATTTCCTTTCTTTTCTTTTTCTCTTTGAGTTTCCAGGTTGTGTGCTGAACTTGTTTGTGTCTTATAAGGTTCTCTATATAAAATGTCTTTGTACCGCTGTCCTGTTCTGACCCCCCAAAACAAAACCACTCATACTGTAACATGGCCCCCGCCTCCCAGATGTAGGGAAGAGTCCTGGTCAGACCTCAGTGTGAGGTCGGAGGTTAAAGGGAGCACATGAAAGCATCGGTTTAAAAAATACATTTCTCTAGAAAAGAACAAATTCATGAATTATAATTAATTCCATCTGCAAACTGTTGAGCTGTGGAATCTGTGTGTGAAGTACTGTGGAGCAGTACTCTCTAATACTCTCAGTACTTTGAGTATTTAACAGTCCAGCTGCCCCACAGAGACACCATCACTAACATAACAGAACTTGTTTCAAATATTTTAAAGAAAAAAATCCTTTTTCCTCATGAGTTATTAGTGGACCTCACCGAGTTTTCGTCTTAAAATGTCCAAAATAAAGACGGTGCTCATTGTGTGGAACAAACTTTTTTTAACGTTTTTACATGAATGAAAAAAGAAGGTAAAGACTAATTATGTGCCTCATTTTAGCACCAATTTTAACACCTTTTAAATCATTTCGTTTTAGTGCAGTTTGTTGTGACAGGCTGTAACGGGGTCAATTCAGCTTCCTCTGGAGTTTCCTTCAGTGTTTTTCGAGCTCTAACAATCACATTGAAACCTGGGCCGTTGTCCTCTCTGAGACCCGTCGTGCATTTCTCCCTCGCAGCTTTTCCAGATGCATTCAGTGGATCTGTGTGAAACTGTACGTGCGCAGACGAACACTCACGGAAGCATTTGAAAGCCCTATGGGGTTCCTTAATGTAGTTCAGTTTAGAGGTTGTTGGGTGTTTCTGGCACAGACTGACGACATCACAACTCTGTAGTCACCTGACTAGGGTGTTGCAGTCAGCTGATGCCTTCAGTGGAGCTTGGCATTTTCTTAGGAGGCTTCCTTATGTTTGGGATGAAGCAGACATCCCACAGCTGTACATGCGGCAGGTTTCTGATCCGAGTCAGGGTGGGTCCAGGTCAAGATAAAGGAAAATGTGAAATGAAAGACAAACCTCCATGTTTCTTTAAACCACTTGTCTGATGCCGTGCTCCACTCTGACTGGTTTTTGTGACAGTTGTACCACTGTGTTGTAATCTCAGGTCACCACCAGGTGTTCATCGGTTGGGCAGAGCTGTGGCTCAGATAGCCAATAGGAATGAGGTGTGCAGCAGAACACTGAGCTGATCTCTGGGTGGTTGTTAAGATTGACACTGGGTGTTTCTCTTATAAGCACCATCATTTCCTTCCGTTGCGTCTTAGCCCCACTCACGCAAGATGTGAGAAGTGAGGGCATGAGGAAACATGTTACTAATAACATGAGAAGTCCTTTCCTCTGATCCTACATCTGAAGCATCCAGTCACCAGCTGAGTTCTGATAAAGGAGCATGTTGGTCCATGAAGACTTCCGTGAAGGATGCTCTCATGTGGCCTCGGTCATGGCTCCTCAGAGCCAGTATAAGAAACTTTGCTCATCCTTGTTCAATCAAGGATGTAGGAGAAACACCCAGTTTCATCCAACCAAGTCACCTCTATGCAGCTGTGCTCAAAGGCAGAGGTTTTTTCACCCTGAGTATCGCCTCCAGGTGCAAACAGATTGCTTCCAGTGAGATCTACCCACCCTGCACCCCCTGAACCGGCTGTGATGTCCCGATTCTAATGAGTAAATATTGATCAGTGATGTTGGCTGAATGTTGATTAATGTTAGGTGCATGGCCAATCAGATCCAAGCTAGTGATGGAGCAGTGGATGGATCAATGGATTTGATTAGAACAGATCTGATGAGTCCGTTTTTTTGTTAACTCTCTGTATCCACTTATCTCTGTCCTCCATCTCATTTCAGAGTAAATCTGTTTATTTGGCAAACTAACTTCTGGTTTTTGAAGCTTTCCACCAGATGTCACGGCCTTCCTCAGCGCGTGGATTCACTCAGCTGTGATGGAAGTGTGAAATTTTGTCTACAAACAAACTGATCACACTTGAGAGATTGAGCAAACACCTCAGCTTTATTTTGGACATTTTACAGGCAGATCAATAACCGACACACCAAAACAGTGATCGTGTCCTCCAGGTGTGACTGACAGGTGGACAGCTCATTGCCACAGCAACCCTCCTCTGTTTGTTTTTAGTTGATGGTCGAGCTTTGATGCTATAGTTAATTTTGTATTTTAATAAGAAAAAGGCAAAAAGTGGATTTATGTATTTGCATGCACTCCGGCCGTACGTTCTTTCTTCCGTATGTTTGAGCACTGTATAGTAGCTGTATAGTAGCTGTCTGAGGTGTAGACCGGACTCCGCTCGATAGAGTAGAGACACAGAGAGAGGACAACCTGACGACAAACCAACAAGTCAGTTATTTGATGTAATTACTGATATGGGATCCTTATTTTCTGAGTTCCTTTGTTTTCATAAATAAACACATAAATTGATGCACAGACTCGAGTCTCTTTCTCACACGCATGTTTCTGTTAGGGTTGATAACTTTCACCAGGAAAGGCCTTGTCCTTTAAATGGAACACAAATGGTCCGTGCTGATCGATGAGTTGGCCCAGGAAGCTGATTTTCATCTCTGGGCAGGTTGGTGTGAAACATCAGTGGATATAACAACAATGGGCAGATGCAGAGGATCGTACAAAACAGAGCAATGCAGCAGAGGCCCCGCAGTGACCACACAGGTGAACCAGCACCTCTGTGACATGGTCTGAACCCAGAATGGACACCACCAGCTTCGGGGGGGGGGGGGGGTGTGGGC